GGGGGGGGGGGGGGGGGAGAGAGAGAGAGAGAGAGAAAGAGAAATAGACAGAAAGAGTAGCGAAAAGGGACAGAAGGACAGAGATTTACCATTTAAATCTTACAAGCGCTCCTTTAAGAGAGGACTGCAGGCATATCGTCCGCGCATAACCGGCCATCCCATTCGGTGAATTTCTACTTAGACTGATGGAACTGCCACATTTGTACGAGGATCTCAAGAATATCGGGTTTTGCCTTAAACCGGCGGCGCGCGTTAACGGTACTTTTAAGAAAATTGCACATACGGTATGTGGGCGGCTCTAGTGTGTATATATATATATATATATATATATATATATATATATATATATATATATATATATATCGACATATGCATAGCTGCGCCGGAGCCTGTGCAAGACGCGTATGCGTATATATACGTATAAAGATACGCGTGCCTTAGACGATTCCGCACAAGGGAGCACATGGATATCCACGGCGAGTTCCGAGGGGAAACAGACGGCACTTTATTTCCAATTGCAATTCCAAATCAAGATTCCAAATCAATTTAATCTAAGCGGACATTCTGTTATCGCCGATAAATTCAATTCTCGGACGGTTTCTTTCCCTTTCTCCCCTTCTCCCCCCTCTCTCTCTCCCTCCCTCTCTCTCTCTCCCTCCCTCTCTCTCTCGACTCACGTCGCGCAACATCGCGGAGGAAGCGCGTTCACCTGGCGCTCTTGCCCAGCTCTCTCTCCCCCAGCTTCGATTCCCCCTTACAAGCCGGAAACTTTCGGCGCAAACAAAACAGTAAGAGCAACAGAAAGTGCCGCCCGCGAGTGGGAAACGCCGCGAAAGTTGTGCCCACCGAAGAGAAGTTCAAAATACTTTGCAAAATCTGTGAGCTTACTTCAAACCGATTATGCGATTGACGCTAAGTCCACCCTGGGACTTCTTCCAGACAGAAAGCTTCCTCGTTACGGGTCCCTGCCGCGAAGACCACGTCAGCTGGAAGGACGCGAGATGTCTCACGACGTCCTAGAGGATTCAGATTATCCGAGAGCATCGCCAAACGTGAGTTAATCTGATTTTTATCCTTTTATATTGACTCTCGAAACGGAGACCGCGTCCTCGAGTGGCACATCAGTGAGGAAGAAAGAACGACGTCTCGCTATTCGAGAAAAGGATATCACGGGGCGATATACTAACGCCTGTTATTACACACATGATCATTTCGAGCTTTCCTACCATCTTTATAATGATTCGAGCGTCGCCGGAGATGCTACATAATTTCTTTGCCGCATCGAGATGATGTAAGGCGATCTACGGTAAGCGCGTATACCTGCACGTTCGCCGATAGCCACGAACACAGAAAACCACTTTCGAATTCGATCCGGTGTGCTTTACGATCCCGCTTATCGCCGTTTACCGACGAGCCAGATTCAGCCAGCGAAAGCGTTTCCGTCGCGCCTAATAGTTTTCGAGATATTCGACCTTTCTTTGGTCCATGATACATTCAGTCTATCTATTCAGTAAACGATTTGAAGCAGAGAACTTCGGTTCTCCGGTATTATTGTGAACGCGTTCCAAATAGCTCACATGTGTCAGCTTCGTATCTAAGATTAAATCATGATCGTGACAAATCTTTTCGTTCAAAAAGTCTGCTTTTCCGTCTCCATGCTCGTTGCATTGAAGAAATTCACCGACTCCGTCACTCCGGCGATATATACGCGCGTGTATGTATATTCCACATTATAAAAATACCATAAAAGCCTGGCGCTATAAAAATTCTATATCGGTATAGCGAGTAAAAGTTCTTCGCGCGCGCGCCCGGATAAATCGAATTCAATTTCCACTCGTCGCTTCTACATTTTTCTAAGTGGGATCATATACCTCCGTCGGGACAGGGTCTTTTAACCTTAAGCTCTAGACAAATATCTTCCAAACTCGATTTAACCCGGTGGCGATGCGGTATCGTATCGAATGGCAACGGCGTCACGGCGCGCGTAAGCTCCGTCGTCTTGTTTTATTGTTCCGCTCAAATGAGAATTTCTACAGCGGCGCGAGGTAATCATACGAATATAAATTTTAATCGCCCGAGACGCGAGCGCGATATCCCCTGTTCTCGATCAGCGAGAACGTGACTTTCACGACTGTACACAACAATCGATACTCGTTCCACTATCTTAAGCTCCTCGCTCTACCTCCTCGGTCGATTTCAGACATTCTACAGCCTCCAAAGGCCGCACGTAGAGTCGATCGGCAGGAGCATTCAAGAGAGCTGTATTTAAGGGTCAAACACCGGCTGGGACACCAAGGAGAGAAGTGGGCGGCGGTCTAGACGGATAGACGCGAGAGGATCCAGACGGCCTGCATTGCCTACTTCTGGGTCGTCGACCATCGTTCAACAGGGTATACGAGGCCCCTGGACCATGGCTGATGGTGATTCGCGAGGAAACGAGAATTCATACACACACACACACGCTCGCGCCGCGTTTTCGCGGGCTCGAGCGTACGGAGAGAAATACATTTATAGCCACTTGATTCACTACGCCTTTGTAAATATTGTATATAAATAAAACACATCAATTTTTTTCGTGTTACACGTTCGTTTCGTGTCTCGCGTCTCCCATCAGTTGTCTCTCTCGCCTTTTCACGACAACGCGCGTTTATATGTTCCTCAGAAGATCATCTAAACGCGAGTATCTACTTCTTTTTTATTTCGCGCACTTTTTCTTATTGCGACCGAGGGCCTCTCTCGATCCGGTCGTCTCGCGTCACGATCGCATTTTTCGAAACTTTACAGCGGACTTTAGATTAAACTCGACGTCGAATATTTCTTTTTTCTTTCTTCCCCTCTTTTTTCTGAGAGTATTAGTATCATAAATTGAAAACTAGATCGCGCGGACAATCTGTCGTTTATTTCGTACGAGCGCGAGCTTATCTGTTTATTCAAAAAGTCCTCCTTTTGCCACTTTTATGGAGCAATCCACGTTCTCTTTCCGCGTGGCGCTGCGCGACGCGTTACCCTACGAAGAAAAGCGCAAGAGAACGGCATCACGGCTAGGTAAATCGCATCAAGCATAACAACATCGCGGCGAGGAACTAGCAGCTTCTTCGCAACACCTCCTTTCGTCGATCTTCTCCTTAGAAAGGAAATAGAGAGAGGAAGAGAGACAAGGATCTCATCGTCGAAAGCTTTACGAGAGTTCTCCTTTAGTTCCTTCATTTTCGTGTGATTTTTTCGATAGTTCATCGCTCGATGATTAAATATGCGAAATTGCTCGATGATTAAAGCTGCGATTAACTTATTTATGATATAATGTGACATGGGAATGCTATAGTTATGTCAAATTTCACTGCAATTGTTATCTCGTATGACACTTTGACAGCTGCATTTACGTGAAAAAAATGTCGTCTGTCGCCAGCAGATTTTTTAAACTATTTGAGAGCTCGTTTAATCCGTAATATAAAGGGGAATATTTTCCTTATATAAAAATTAGTAGATCTATCTTTTTAACAACTATACATTAGCAAAATGAAATCACGTAAACAGTCGTCAAAGTGTCAGAAACAAAATTTCACTGTTGTCTAATTGGATTTTCGCGTCGAACAAATGTGTCATGCGTCATTAGAATTAATAAGGCTCCGTTATCAACAGGAAAATTTGCGCTCGTTGGACTAGCGAGTCCTATGAGAGGGACAGTGGGTCACGATACGGCAGTTTGTTCCGCTTGTTGGAATATAGCGCTTTAATGTGGCGTATTTCAGGCTGAGCACGTAATTGGCCATTCGAGATGCAAAGTGCGTCTACCATTCGCATGCCCTTCCCACCCCCTGGCTGCGTCTCGCGGTGTCGATCCGCGCTTATGCGCCCTTTCCTGCATCCAAACGACGGCGGATAAAAGCGGTACATAAAAGCGCGATAGTTCCGAATAACCGGCTGCCTGCGAACGTAGATACAGATACCGTACTCTCGGTCGCGCATTTAACACCGAATGCGACAGTTTGAAAGTATCGGCGTTTCGTCCATCCCGTATAAAAAAAAAGTAAAAAAAAATAAAGAAATGTAACGGCGGCATTTTTTGATATTGGAAGTCGGACAAAAAAATTGCGCACGGCTGAGTCCGTCCAGAGAAGGAACAACTCAAATAACGAATTCGAAGAAGGCTCGTGAGTGAGTTTAATCCTCCGTCGAAAGCGAGTGATTACGGCTACTAAAATATACCACGACAGCCCGCTTATATATCCTGCCGCGGGAATGACGCCGCGCAGATCCCACCATCACATCTTCCGCGAACTGAAACTTTTATGATTTCACGTTTGGCTGCGTTCGTTTAAGTTTGCGCGCACAAACTCGCGCGCGGCAGCCGTCGTCGCAAGTGCTTGACGGTACATTTACATGCACGGAACTCCTTGTGTAACTTACATCTCGCGATTCGCTACCCCGGAAGGCGCGAGCGCCACTTCATATTTATCTCCGCATTAAAAGGCAGAATTCACTGTGGAGTGATTCTTCGTACGAAGAGCGTTTGATTTGCAGTCTTTTCAAATTATAATAAAGTTTGTAGCTTGATATACTTAATAATAACTTAATAGTATAAACTTAATTGTTTGCACTCAAAATAGTTTTTCTGCTATAAGGAATTAGCAACTCAAAGCTGTTTTGATAAAAAAGTTGATAAAATTTTTTACAACTAACAAAAATAAATCACACATAAATTAACGGATAAAATTATTGTATATTTCAGTATATAAGAGAAAAATGTTTGGTATTTGTAATTATAATCATATAGAGAAATAATTACTATAAATTATAGTCAAGATAACCATTTTTTAGTCAATTGCATTATAATTTTAATGATAATAACTTTATAAGCATTTTACTACTACTATCTTCGTGTTGGAACAACTAAAAAAAATATATATTTTTAAATATATATTTTTATATTTAATATATATTTAAATATATATTTTTAAATATGTATATTTTTTAGTTGTTCCAACACGAAGATAGTAGTAATAACATGCATATAAGGTTAATATCACTAAAATTATAGTGCAATTGACTAAAAAATGGTTGACTTGATCATAATTTATAGTAATTATTTCTCTATATGATTATAGTTACAAATACCAAACATTTTTCTCTTAGTGTACTATCGAGATCAAACATAAACAGTTATTGTCGTCTCTCACTCGCCATTTGAGTTACTGTCAAATCAAGTAGCGACTGAGAGTCGCCTCTCGAGTGCAAAGGGTTAATAGTATAAAAAGAAATATGCCTAATGTATGAGCAAGTATTTCAGTTTTTATCTGAAGTATCCGCGGTGTCTCGAAGGACATCCTGAGTTGAAATTTTGATTCTGCATTAGCCTTGCAAATTCTGTAGAATTTGTAAGGTCAATGACGAATCTTAAGATATAATTGTTTGTCCTATTTTTCTACCATGATTATACAAACGATTACTTACTGTTTTCTTCTTTCTTTTCTTGTTGAGTCTTAAAAAAAGACTCATTTCAGAATTATGCAATATTTAATTATCTCACTAATTCATCTATATTTAGTCTTTATTCTTAATTTCAGTTAGCAATATATTAATTATACAAATTATTCAATGACAAATAGAATATATTATTTTCTTCATGTTTTCTTCAACTTTAAAGAAGGCCTCATTTCAGAATTATATGATATTCGATCATCTCAATAGTTCACCTGCATTAATCTTTATTCTCAATTCCAAACAACAATATATTAATTATATGACTTACTTAACGGCAAATAGAATATGTGAGATAAGCAAATATTTACATAATTAATTGATTAAGCAAATATTTACATAATTAATTTCGTTAAATAATCACATAAAGATTGGTGGAAAAGTGAGTAAAATATAACACATTTTATTCTCATCGCTTATGACTATCTTTCTTTTTCCTTTTTTTCTTTCTCTTTTTTAGACTCCTATTAACAATTATTACTTAGCCTCAGGTGAGATATTCAGATTTGAATTTCAAAATAGATGTGAATTTTTAGCTAAATTGTTTAGAAAATTTCTCACAAAATATTTAGATCTGAACTCAGAGTTAAATTTGAATTTTTCATTTGAATCACATATGCGACATTGCAAATAAATGACTTACCATTCCTTGAAATACATGTTGCATTGTTGTCCTGTCGTCGTCCCATTATCTAGCATCCTCCACTTCAGCTTCCTCCTTCGATCCAACGTCCTGCTGTCAATTTCTGCGGACGTTTCATCGTGGCATTGACACTGGCACTCACGTAGGTACGTCTGAATCAAAGATATGCGTGTTAAGTAACGCGATGCCGACGAGAGTTCAGTCGAATATTCTAGAAGTTGACGAGAATAATCGAATATGACAAGAATCCCGTATCAGACTAAAAATCGAGTTACAATCGCATGAATCAAGTAAATCAGAACCAAAATTTAGATTAGCGAATTCAATCAGTATAAACATAATATTCCAAACTTTCTTACCTTCACGCGCACTTTTTTAAGCGATCCGTTTCCTTCCAAGATGAGTAGTGGTCTGCCCGCGCTCGACTGCCGCGCCGCACCACTACGAGTTCGCTGATTGGCTCCTTGAGTTAGTTCAATGTCAGCCAATCACAAGCGTCGTTATAGACGCGTCACTGTAAACGGAGCGTTTAATTGGTTCATTTCAAGTATTCAAAGGAGACGTGTCCTACTACGTACCGACGCCACGGCATAAAGCTTCGAGTGTCACGAGTGTCTTCGCGTCGAGGCGGAGTGCAGAAGGTGCATATAAACCATTGAATAAAGAATACCAGGAAAGAGCATATTGCAATATATCGTGGATAATCGATTGTGTTGCATTGATTCAGTTTGATGACATTATAAGTGTAACTACGTTACCGAAAACACTGGCGGTATACTTCAAACATCTTGGAAGTACATAGCATAGGAATATTAATTTTAAAAGAATAATAAAAAAATTGTATTTATATTTTGCTCATATTGGTGAGGGAAATAAAATTAGTCACTTGTAATAATTTTCTCTTCAATACGTTTACGCATCTTTGTCTATTCGATTAATTGGCAATATTACGTCTAACATTTACTTCGATTCCATAGTATCGATAATCGCATTTGGTTCACTTTCATTACGTCACATCCTTCTAACAAAGGATTTTCTCTTTATGCTGCTTCCTGGTATTCTTTATTCAATGGTATAAACAAAATATTCCAGACTTTCTAGCCATATTTACTTTCGTGCGACGCGCACTTTTTCAAACAATCCATTCCATTCCAAGACGACCGGTGGACTGCTGCGCCGCACTGCTGCAACTTCACTAATTAACTTCTTGAGTTAGCTTAAAGTCAGCCAATCACAAGCGTCGCTATAGACGCGTCGCTGTAAACGGAGCGTTTTATTGGTTCACTTGAAATATTCAAAGGGGAACTCATTTTCCTACGCGCCGATGCCACAGCAAGCAGTTCAGAACGTCACAAACGTCTTCGCGTCGAGGCGGAGGGCAGAAGGTGCGTATAAATCATTTTTAGAAACTTCAATCGCGAACAGAAACTTTGTCAAACGGTGCGAATATAAATCACCGAGTTGGCAAGGCAGTTCCGAGCAGTTTCTCCTTGAGATCGGCTGAAGATAATTGATATAGCGGAGTAGAAGCGCGTTGTACATTCGAAACGTTAATTAGAAGCCGCGTTTTTATTATCAATCTACGCGGGCGTGACGCGATACGATCGACGAACAAATGGTTTGTCGTTCCAGATATCCTGAAATCCAGGATCGATGCGAACTTTCACGCGAATAACCGGTGCAATTTACTCTTGCCTGCTTCTGTCCGTAAGGAAGCACCACGGCAAGAAACGGAGGGACTTCTCCTCATTTTTCTTATTGCGCAGATTAGGAAGGATCAACCGGTCCATGAATGTCGCGCGGAAAAATCCTCGTGTCGATACTCCAGACAACTCGTCCTTGTAGTGCAACTCGTCTCTCGGGAGGATGAGAAGGCCTTCAGCCAGAAATCACACGAGCAACGGACGAGTGACTCAGTTATTTGTCACTGAGGTAATTTTAAACGATCAATATCGATGTAATGATAACATATACCGCATAAAGATTATTAAATTTTGATGTATTAACTATAATCGATGAATTAATAACTGTAATGATGAATTTAATAATTGTTTGATAAGATTACATAAAATCCATGGCAATAAAAGGGGAAAGGTATTCGCAAATTTAATAACTTTATGATATTGTACATTGATATACTATCGGGAATATAATATGAAACATAATTTTATTGAATTCTCTGTTCTATTGTGTCACCAATAACGCAAAAATGCGTAAGCAAATCGCAAATAATTGCCTGTCCGTTTACTTTGTGCCAATTAGCTTAATAATGGGAATATTAAATAGATGTTCTCGACGAAATATATTCATCGCAAATATATTCGACGCAAAATATTCATATATTTATATATATATATATATATATATATATATATATATATATATATATATATATATATAT